AGAGAGAGAGAGAGAGAGAGAGAGAGAGAGAGAGATTTAAAACAGTTATTTTATAATGCTAAATCTCTAAATTGAATGATGAAGGTTGGGCTATGGTATGGGACATGTCAGGCGCGGGTCCGTCCAATTTTGATCTGTCATTCATAAAGTATATGATAGCAACGATTAACCACTACTTCCCCGAAGGGATGGCATATCTATTAATGTACGGATTAAAGCACATAATGAGTGGTGTAATGAGGTTTGGATTATCTCTAATACCCAAAGAGTCCAGAATTAAGATAAAGTTTGTCTCAAACGACGAGTTATACACATATATAGCGCCGGAAAATCTGCCCGACTTTATGGGCGGTAAATGTATGCAAAGCTATCGACTGATACCCGAAGGCGCCAGAAATGCCAAAGAGGTTGGTATTGAAAGGGGCATCGCTTTGGACGATATCAACAAAGTATTGAAATATTACGACAAGTATTTGCAAAACTAATAACAAAAACAATGAAAAATAATCGACTAATAAATCATTTATGACAAAATCTTTTATAATGTTAATTATCAACAATTCAATAGAAAACAGTATAAATTTATTAATACTGTTTACATGTATTTACTATTAAAACAAGAGAACAAAAACATTTGTATTTGTTATTTAACTAAACATTACTACAGTATTAAAATGGTTATTTTAAAAATAAAAACATTGTATTAAAAAACATATAAATTACTTAAAACTTAATACAAAAACAATCAATCGGTTAAATAGTGTTCATAAAACTTGAGGACAGCGTCGGTCTCGTCGGCATTAATACCGCGTTCAGCGGCCAAATCGTGACAATCTCTGACCGCCTCTTTGGGCACTTCGTGATAGTTTTGGACACATTTTCCGCCCAAAAAGTCGGGCACATTCTCGGCCTCAACGAAGCCGAAGATCTGGTCTTTGGCCGCAAACTTCACGACATTTCGCGCCTCTTCGGAGACCAGTTTGAGGCCAATGTTGACAAACGCCGTCATAATCCACGGCACGCCGTATATAACAAGGTATCGCATTCCTCGGGGGTAATAGTTTCGCAGACACGATATGATGAACCGCACGATTGATAGGTTCCAGTTTGACGGCCCGGTGCCGCTCATGTCCCACACCATTGCCCAACCTTCGGGTTTTAATTATAAACGTGTTATTATCATTATTTATAATTAAAAATACAATGTATAAATTAATTGTAATTTTATTCAAATTTTAATTTAACTTCAAAGTCATAGCATCTAAACGCTGGCCAATGTTTTTTAAATTTTGTTTTTATTTAATTTTATTAATTGAATTTTATGAATAATTTATTAATTTATATTTTTGAAATAATGCCAGAATTAATTTGATTATCATTAGAAAAAATAGTTTTTTGATTTCAAAATTACACTGTAAGAATCTTATTTTTACAAAATGTGTAAAACTTGCAATAAATATAGTACTCACATTATTTAAAATACATAATAATTTATTATTATTAATAACTACTTCATACAAATTAACAGCATATTTAATATTACCTTTTTCCTCATTTTGAACATCAATTTTGTTGATAATATGCAAAAAGTATTGCCGAAAATAGTCCGAAAACTTTGGAAAATGTCGATACAATTTAACCCTCAAATAGATGACATCCCGGCCTTCCCTATCGGGACAGTAGGCAAAAACGGCACCCGTTTTATAAAACTCTAGGGGAAAGTCACAGTCTTTGCGGTCATTTACGCCAAACGCCTTTCGCCACCGCAACGCCTCTCTGATCATAACCACAGTGTTGTCCACATCTAACTGTTGGGCCATTAAAAACCGTTTAACGTACCAATCGTTGGCCATAAGTCGGTGCAAATCGCACTCGTCGTACAAACTGGCATTTGATTTGTAGTCATTGCAAAACTTGTCCCTAACTTTGCCCAACAGAATCGGATCACTCGCATCCATATTAATACTACACTGTGTGTTGTTTTCAACACAAATATATTAAAATAATAAAATTCACTTTATTTGTAATTTGTTTTACGATGATGATTTTGTAAACCACTATTATTTTCACTGTAATATTTTTTAACAAGTGTATTCAATGTATATTTTTCGCTGATAATTGTCAAATAATTGCAGTATTTGTGCACATTTTGTGTATAATCCCCGACAGTATTATCGAGATATTACTGACGATAATAAAAGTTTCCGTTCACTTCATCATAGGCTCAGAGAGTTGTCAATACTATTGACTAAATAGTGTATAAACGGATACTTTTAACGTCGGATAACTGAAAATTTATTCATAAACAGCATTTTCAATGACGTTTACTATTATACAAAGTATTCACTAAAACACACATAATATTCAATTGCATTGAGAATTAATAACTTATTGAAAAGCAAATTAATATTATTTATATTTATGACCGCAAACCCACCGATACATCTCTTATGCCGACCTTCCCATTGAATAGTGAAT